TAATACTTTGATGATTTACAGACAGTAATATTTAAGAATAAACTAATGTTTTCACTTATTTGAGCATCTTGTATGATGATTACATTATATAAAAATTATTATTCATATAAAACCTAATAGGATTCTAAATATGCATTTATGATAATTAAAGTAAAATAAATGCTATGATTGATTTTATTGGTAAGATTAAAAATATTCAGGAAAGCAATAAGCAATCTTTAAAACAGATAAAAGTAGTTTTTGAATTCCGAAATCTCATTTCAAAGAATTTTTAATCTATTAGTATAATTAATATATTAACAAGTAATCTTAAAAAAAATTGTTACAAGAATAAATATATTTATCCTACCTACATTCCTATCGACTAAAGGTATTATTCTCCAATTCATTTTGTTTTATACTTTGTATATAATACTATTGAGAAGGTAAATAGATAAAAACAAACAAAGAAAAAAACAAAAAAATGTTTTATTTAGTTATAATTTTTGGAATATTGATAGGATTTTAATTGGACTCATTAAATTTACTTCTCTTTCCTTGTAGGAAAATAAATAATTAATTTACTATCATTTTTTATTTTCTAAAAACTTAATAAAAGAAATTCATAAAATTTCCTTGTCAGAAAAATAAATCAAAAATAAATAAATAAATATTTCTTACCTTTTTAAAACAATTAAAAGGTTAAAAAAAATACAAAAAATAAAATAAAATAAATGGGCTAAGTAATAAAAAAGTACTTTAATTTAAATTCAAATAATTATTATATTAGATTATTTATGCTTGGAGTTAATGCTTCTGGTAGGACGACAATGCTTTATAAACTTAAAACTGGACAAACTCTAAAAGTTAACCCAACCGTTGGTTTTAATGTTGAGGAAATTATGTTTAAAGACAAAGTATTTAACTTTATGGATGTTGGAGGTGGATATAAAATATATGATAATTTTCATAAATATGCGATTGGCAGTGATGCTATAATTATAGTTGTTGATTCCTCTTATCTTAGCTATGAATTTTACGAAAATCTACTTTAAAATACGCTTAAAAGTTGCTTGTAAGAATTGGTTGAATTCAAAAAGAATAAAAAGATACCAATTCTAATTTTAGCAAATAAGACAGACAAATCTCATTACACAGACGAAGAAATAATTTAATATACTAGTATCGATAAATATTAAGACATCACATTCTTTAAGCTGATTCGTACAAATTGCTTTACAGGGTAAGGTCTACCAGAAGCTTTATAGTGGATTTATGAAAATGTATAAAAATGAAAATATAATAAAGCTCTTAACTTGCCAAATAAGAATAAATAAATGTTTTTAAATAATAAATTTACTTGAGTTAACACTTAACTATTATTTTTTATTAATAAATATTATTTATTTATTCAATGTATTTAATTGAATTATTATAAAACTTCCTTAT